CCACCTGCCACAGGTAACGGTAGCCACCTGCCACAGGTAACGGTAGCCACCTGCCACAGGTAACGGTAGCCACCTGCCACAGGTAACGGTAGCCACCTGCCACAGGTAACGGTAGCCACCTGCCACAGGTAACGGTAGCCACCTGCCACAGGTAACGGTAGCCACCTGCCACAGGTAACGGTAGCCACCTGCCACAGGTAACGGTAGCCACCTGCCACAGGTAACGGTAGCCACCTGCCACAGGTAACGGTAGCCACCTGCCACAGGTAACGGTAGCCACCTGCCACAGGTAACGGTAGCCACCTGCCACAGGTAACGGTAGCCACCTGCCACAGGTAACGGTAGCCACCTGCCACAGGTAACGGTAGCCACCTGCCACAGGTAACGGTAGCCACCTGCCACAGGTAACGGTAGCCACCTGCCACAGGTAACGGTAGCCACCTGCCACAGGTAACGGTAGCCACCTGCCACAGGTAACGGTAGCCACCTGCCACAGGTAACGGTAGCCACCTGCCACAGGTAACGGTAGCCACCTGCCACAGGTAACGGTAGCCACCTGCCACAGGTAACGGTAGCCACCTGCCACAGGTAACGGTAGCCACCTGCCACAGGTAACGGTAGCCACCTGCCACAGGTAACGGTAGCCACCTGCCACAGGTAACGGTAGCCACCTGCCACAGGTAACGGTAGCCACCTGCCACAGGTAACGGTAGCCACCTGCCACAGGTAACGGTAGCCACCTGCCACAGGTAACGGTAGCCACCTGCCACAGGTAACGGTAGCCACCTGCCACAGGTAACGGTAGCCACCTGCCACAGGTAACGGTAGCCACCTGCCACAGGTAACGGTAGCCACCTGCCACAGGTAACGGTAGCCACCTGCCACAGGTAACGGTAGCCACCTGCCACAGGTAACGGTAGCCACCTGCCACAGGTAACGGTAGCCACCTGCCACAGGTAACGGTAGCCACCTGCCACAGGTAACGGTAGCCACCTGCTACAGGTAACGGTAGCCACCTGCCACAGGTAACGGTATAGCCACCTGCCACAGGTAACGGTAGCCACCTGCAACACGTAACGGTATAGCCACCTGTCACAGGTAACGGTAGCCACCTGCCACAGGTAACGGTATAGCCACCTGTCACAGGTAACGGTAGCCACCTGCCACAGGTAACGGTAGCCACCTGCCACAGGTAACGGTAGCCACCTGCCACAGGTAACGGTAGCCACCTGCCACAGGTAACGGTAGCCACCTGCCACAGGTAACGGTAGCCACCTGCCACAGGTAACGGTAGCCACCTGCCACAGGTAACGGTAGCCACCTGCCACAGGTAACGGTAGCCACCTGCCACAGGTAACGGTAGCCACCTGCCACAGGTAACGGTAGCCACCTGCCACAGGTAACGGTAGCCACCTGCCACAGGTAACGGTAGCCACCTGCCACAGGTAACGGTAGCCACCTGCCACAGGTAACGGTAGCCACCTGCCACAGGTAACGGTAGCCACCTGCCACAGGTAACGGTAGCCACCTGCCACAGGTAACGGTAGCCACCTGCCACAGGTAACGGTAGCCACCTGCCACAGGTAACGGTAGCCACCTGCCACAGGTAACGGTAGCCACCTGCCACAGGTAACGGTAGCCACCTGCCACAGGTAACGGTAGCCACCTGCCACAGGTAACGGTAGCCACCTGCCACAGGTAACGGTAGCCACCTGCCACAGGTAACGGTAGCCACCTGCCACAGGTAACGGTAGCCACCTGCCACAGGTAACGGTAGCCACCTGCCACAGGTAACGGTAGCCACCTGCCACAGGTAACGGTAGCCACCTGCCACAGGTAACGGTAGCCACCTGCCACAGGTAACGGTAGCCACCTGCCACAGGTAACGGTAGCCACCTGCCACACGTAACGGTATAGCCACCTGCCACAGGTAACGGTAGCCACCTGCCACAGGTAACGGTAGCCACCTGCCACAGGTAACGGTAGCCACCTGCCACAGGTAACGGTAGCCACCTGCCACAGGTAACGGTAGCCACCTGCCACACGTAACGGTATAGCCACCTGCCACAGGTAACGGTAGCCACCTGCCACAGGTAACGGTAGCCACCTGCCACAGGTAACGGTAGCCACCTGCCACAGGTAACGGTAGCCACCTGCCACAGGTAACGGTAGCCACCTGCCACAGGTAACGGTAGCCACCTGCCACAGGTAACGGTAGCCACCTGCCACAGGTAACGGTAGCCACCTGCCACAGGTAACGGTAACCCAACCTGATCCTGGCAACCACTGTGTCGCACAGTCTGGTCGACGTTTTGTGCTGTCCATAAACATAGGTTTCAGATCTGAAGCTAAAAGTACCAAAAATAACCCTACGGGAATCCAACGTCACATTTCACTATTAAAACTGGCATCATGCCCTGGTATAGGCTATCCTGGGTGTAGCTACATAGTGTATGGGTGTAGCCACATGGTGTATGGGTGTAGCTACATAGTGTATGGGTGTAGCCACATGGTGTATGGGTGTAGCTACATAGTGTATGGGTGTAGCCACATGGTGTATGGGTGTAGCCACATGGTGTATGGGTGTAGCCACATGGTGTATGGGTGTAGCCACATAGTGTATAGGTGTAGCCACATGGTGTATGGGTGTAGCCACATGGTGTATGGATGTAGCCACATGGTGTATGGGTGTAGCCACATGGTGTATGGGTGTAGCCACATGGTGTATGGGTGTAGCCACATGGTGTATGGGTGTAGCCACATGGTGTATGGGTGTAGCCACATGGTGTATGGGTGTAGCCACATGGTGTATGGGTGTAGCCACATGGTGTATGGATGTAGCCACATAGTGTATGGGTGTAGCCACATGGTGTATGGGTGTAGCCGCGGGTGTAGCTGCGGGTGTAGCCGCGGGTGTAGCTGCGGGTGTAGCCGCGGGTGTAGCCGCGGGTGTAGCCCCGGGTGTAGCCGCTGGTGTAGCTGCGGGTGTAGCCGCGGGTGTAGCCGCGGGTGTAGCCGCGGGTGTAGCTGCGGGTGTAGCCGCGGGTGTAGCCGCGGGTGTAGCCGCGGGTGTAGCCGCGGGTTTAGCTGCGGGTGTAGCCGCGGGTGTAGCCGCGGGTGTAGCCGCGGGTGTAGCCGCGGGTGTAGCCCCGGGTGTAGCCGCTGGTGTAGCTGCGGGTGTAGCCGCGGGTGTAGCCGCGGGTGTAGCCGCGGGTGTAGCCCCGGGTGTAGCCGCGGGTATAGCTGCGGGTGTAGCCGCGGGTGTAGCTGCGGGTGTAGCCGCGGGTGTAGCTGCGGGTGTAGCCGCGGGTGTAGCCCCGGGTGTAGCCGCGGGTGTAGCCGCGGGTGTAGCCCCGGGTGTAGCCCCGGGTGTAGCCGCGGGTGTAGCCCCGGGTGTAGCCGCGGGTGTAGCCGCGGGTGTAGCCCCGGGTGTAGCCCCGGGTGTAGCCGCGGGTGTAGCCGCGGGTGTAGCCGCGGGTGTAGCCGCTGGTGTAGCTGCGGGTGTAGCCGCTGGTGTAGCTGCGGGTGTAGCCCCGGGTGTAGCTGCGGGTGTAGCCGCGGGTGTAGCCCCGGGTGTAGCCGCTGGTGTAGCTGCGGGTGTAGCCGCTGGTGTAGCTGCGGGTGTAGCCCCGGGTGTAGCCGCTGGTGTAGCTGCGGGTGTAGCCCCGGGTGTAGCCGCTGGTGTAGCTGCGGGTGTAGCCGCTGGTGTAGCCGCGGGTGTAGCCCCGGGTGTAGCCGCGGGTGTAGCCGCGGGTGTAGCCCCGGGTGTAGCCGCGGGTGTAGCCGCGGGTGTAGCCGCGGGTGTAGCCGCGGGTGTAGCCGCGGGTGTAGCTGCGGGTGTAGCCGCGGGTGTAGCCGCGGGTGTAGCCGCGGGTGTAGCCGCGGGTGTAGCCGCGGGTATAGCTGCTGGTGTTGCTGCGGGTGTACGGGGAGGGAGAGAGCGAGAGGGCGCAAGGGAGTCGAAGCCCCGCAGGCAATATATTTGCATATATATGAACTCGGCTGGCGGAGACGCCCACCGCCCCGCGCCCACCCGCGCCCACTCGCGCCGCCCCGCGCCCACCCGCGCCGCCCCGCGCCCACCCGTGCCCACCCGTGCCGCCCACACCACAACGCCGCCCACATAAAGCCAAGCGCCTCTACCCCAATATTTCTAATGCTCGCTGGGAGGGTGTTGAACAGCCGCGGACCTCTGATGTTTATACAGTGTTCTCTGATTGTGCCTATGGCACCTCTGCTCTTCACTGGCACTGTGAGGAGTGCCAGTGCCATAAACACAGTACCTATGGCACCTCTACTCCACACTGTTACTGTGAGGAGTGCCAGTGCCATAGGCACAGTACCTATGGCACCTCTACTCCACACTGGTGCTGTGAGGAGTGCCAGTGTCATTGACACAGTACCTATGGCACCTCTGCTCCTCGCTCCAGTATGGTGTTATTCTACTGTGCACATTTGGGACCTGGCCCTCCAGTATCATCCATGTATATATTATGTGACACCTTTCTCGCCGCCTTCCCAGAGAGTACATCTTGAGAGCTTTGAGACCGTCCCAAGAGTTTACCTCTGGCATCTTGTAAGTGTCTGGAGGAGCTGAACCATACTAGGAGTTTCCTATTTATATTGACCAGACCACACACTAGAAGGTGAAGGGACGACGACGTTTCGGTCCGTCCTGGACCATTCTCAAGTCGACTTGAGAATGGTCCAGGTCGTACAGGTCCATTAATGTCCAGGACATTAATGTTGTACTCTGATCTTAGTGTTTGGACACAATGGGTTTTAACCAGACATTTTACTGGGTTTGTAAGTGGATATTTGTAAACAAAACTCAATTTGATATTTGCATTAGATATTTAGATGCCCATTGACCTTTGTAAGTGACCTTGGTGGCTCCAAAGGTCAGCCCCAGACTATCCTGGAGCTCGAGGAGTTGTTGACCTTCTTCCAGAGGATGTAGTGACCTTCTTCCAGAGAATGTAGTGACCAAATCCACAAGGGCCGTGACGAGGATTCGAACCTGCGTCCGGGAGCATCCCCAGACATTTTAATTGGAAATACATTCTAAGTGATGCTCGACGACCTTTCTTAGTTAATGACCAGAGTTTTGAGAGGTCAGGGAAGGCAGGTGTGTGTGTGCTAAAGACAGGTGTAGGTGATCGGGGTGTGGAGGTGAGGCGAGGAAGTGGGCCTGGAGCTTGTGGTGCCCCGGAGGGGAATGACTGAACTTGTCCTGTCTGGTATATCACCCTAGCCCCTTCCCCCTCTCTCTCCCTCACTACCTCCCTCACTCCCTCCCTCCCGTGATGAGGGAGAGAGGGAGATACCTCTACCAGCTCCCTCTCCGCCTCTCAGATAGCTCCTCCTCCTTTAAGCCTCCAACAATAGTTCTGTGAATCAACGTGACTTCTGTCCACGCCACCTGTAGTCCTCCTGTGACAGAATCATTCAAACATTGACAGGAATACAAGACACAGATGTTGTATTTGCTGTATTTGCGACATACAAGGATGACAGGTCCAAATATTCACGATACAAAGTTAATTTTTTGGACTGAAAAAGAAGTGTAGAATTGTCCCAGTGAAGAGTAGAGGTGCCACGCCCACACCACCACAGGCTGATGGATCCATGCTCACACAGGAAGTGCTGGATCCCCCCTGGGTGTGGTGGGTATGTCTCTCTGTCTCTCTGTCTCTGTCTCTGTCTCTTTGTCTCCCTCTCTCTCTCTCTCTCTCTCTCTCTCTCTCTCTCTCTCTCTCTCTCTCTCTCTCTCTCTCTCTCTCTCTCTCTCTCTCTCTCTCTCTCTCTCTCTCTCTCTCTCTCTCTCTCTCTCTCTCTCTCTCTCTCTCTCTCTCTCTCTCTCTCTCTCTCTCTCTCTCTCTCTCTCTCTCTCTCTCTCTCTCTCTCTCTCTCTCTCTCTCTCTCTCTCTCTCTCTCTCTCTCTCCCCTCTCCCCCCCCCTCCCCCACCGTCATAATACCGGGTGTTGAGCGCCGCTGGGCCTACTGCCTGCCCTCCACGAGAGACGGTTGGGCTCGCTGTCATTTAACCATCACTGTCTGTCTGGGGTACTGTCTACCGCCACTGTCTGGGGTATACTTCAGGTCTCCTTATTCTTGTATACTAAAGTATATTATACCCTCCCCCCCTCTCTCCCCCTCCCCCTCCCCCCTTTAAGCACGCCACATTAATCAAGGCTATTTAACCCCTCCTGTTTATTCTGGAATAAAAGGCAGAAATAAACCTCGCCATTTAAAACAAGTGACACACACACAAGGGGGCGCACCCCCCGCGGGCGTCTCTCCTCTCCCCCCCCCTCCCCACCACCTCTATCCCCCCCCCCCCCCCCCACCCACCTGGGCCGTCCCGCTTAACCGCATACTTCTCTAACCGGTTAACCGGACTGGGTTCCTTAATCTTGTAAATGGCATGGAAATTGTTCGAGGCGGGTCCAAGTTCTCCTGTTTTTATAACGTTTGTTTTAGATAGTTCGGACACACCTGCGCCCCCCCCACGCCCCCCTACACCCCCCTTCCACCCTCCCCCCCTCTTCCTTGACAGTGGGGCACGTTGCCCCCTACTCCCCTTAACGGTGTCTACTGGTCATAGCCGAGTGATTTGTGGGCAAAGGGCAAATGATTACGGGTCAGAAGTGACCACTTATAGGTCAAAGGTCAGTGAGTAGAGGTTACAGGTCATAAGTCATTAGTTATAGGTCAAAGGTCATGGAGGGGGGGGCGGGCCACTGTAACTTTGTACAAACACATCAAATGTCACCTGGTACACGACGAAGGTCATTGGTTACAGGTCATTGGGTATGTCTCACAGGTCATTGGGTATGTCTCACAGGTCACTGGGTATGTCTCACAGGTCATAAGTCTTTGGTTACAGGTCAAAGGTCAATCGTGATTATTTTATTTCTCAAGATTACTTATACGGATCAGAGGCTCTGTGGGTCACTAGCCCTTGTGTGTGTTGGGGGACTGAGGGTGATAAGATGGTTGGGACACTCTCACCCTAACGTCAGCCCCTGTCACACCCTCACTCACCCTAATATCCTCAAGACAGTTCTCTAACTCGAGTCCTCGGCATCAATCCCCAAATTCACATTTCTGGGTCCGCAGCACCTCTCCCCTAGCTCTCCAGGGGGACGGGGTGCTGGGGAGAGGTGGGGAGGCAGGAATTACACACCGATAGCACTAACATCACACATCTTAAAAAATCTTTGAGAGAGTGCTAAGAAGTAAGATCACAAAATACATGGAATCACAGCAACTCCATAACCCCGGACAACATGGTTTCAGAACAGGGCGCTCTTGCCTGTCGCAGTTGCTGGACCACTATGATATGGCATTAGATGCTATGGAAGACAAACAAAACGCTGATGTAATTTAACAAAATCAAATCCGGTCCATCCACCGTGAAGAGCTCAGTCCCCCAGGGTACTGTGCTTGCTCCAGTACTTTTTCTCATCCTCATATCGGACACAGACAAGAACACAACCTATAGTACTGTATCATCCTTTGCAGATGACACTAGGATCTTCATGAGAGTAGGCAACATTGAGGACACGGCAAACCTCCAGTCAGATGTAGATCAGGTCTTTTGATGGGCTACAGAAAATAATATGGTGTTTAACGAAGATAAGTTCCAGCTCATGCGCTATGGACAAAAGAAAATCTAAAAACGGAAACCACGTACAAAACTCAGGCAAATCATAACATAGAACGGAAAGGCAATGTAAAGGATCTGGGTGTACTCATGTCGGAAGACCTTACCTTTAAAGAACACAATAAAGTAGCCGTCACAACTGCAAGAAAAATGACAGGTTGGATAACAAGAACTTTTCACACTAGAGATGCTATACCGATGATGATACTCTTCAAGACGCTAGTGCTCTCTAGAGTGGAGTACTGCTGCACAATGACAGCCCCTTTCAAAGCTGGAGAAATTGCTGACCTGGAGAGCGTGCAGAGATCCTTTACTGCTAGAATCCACTCAGTAAAACATCTAAACTATTGGGACCGACTAAAGAGCCTAAATCTGTACTCCCTTGAGCGCAGGCGGGAGAGATACATAATAATTTACACGTGGAAAATAGTAGAGGGGCTGGTCCCAAACCTGCACACAGAAATAACATCACATGAGACCAGAAGGCATGGCAGGATGTGCAGAATACCCCCGTTGAAGAGCAGAGGTGCAACAGGTACTCTGAGAGAGAACTCTATCAACATCAGAGGCCCGAGACTGTTCAACACGCTTCCACTACACATAAGGGACATAACTGGCCGACCCCTCACAGTGTTCAAGAGAGAACTATCAACATCAGAGGCCCGAGACTGTTCAACACGCTTCCACTACACATAAGGGACATAACTGGCCGACCCCTCACAGTGTTCAAGAGAGAACTATCAACATCAGAGGCCCGAGACTGTTCAACACGCTTCCACTACACATAAGGGACATAACTGGCCGACCCCTCACAGTGTTCAAGAGAGAACTATCAACATCAGAGGCCCGAGACTGTTCAACACGCTTCCACTACACATAAGGGACATAACTGGCCGACCCCTCACAGTGTTCAAGAGAGAACTATCAACATCAGAGGCCCGAGACTGTTCAACACGCTTCCACTACACATAAGGGACATAACTGGCCGACCCCTCACAGTGTTCAAGAGAGAACTATCAACATCAGAGGCCCGAGACTGTTCAACACGCTTCCACTACACATAAGGGACATAACTGGCCGACCCCTCACAGTGTTCAAGAGAGAACTATCAACATCAGAGGCCCGAGACTGTTCAACACGCTTCCACTACACATAAGGGACATAACTGGCCGACCCCTCACAGTGTTCAAGAGAGAACTATCAACATCAGAGGCCCGAGACTGTTCAACACGCTTCCACTACACATAAGGGACATAACTGGCCGACCCCTCACAGTGTTCAAGAGAGAACTATCAACATCAGAGGCCCGAGACTGTTCAACACGCTTCCACTACACATAAGGGACATAACTGGCCGACCCCTCACAGTGTTCAAGAGAGAACTATCAACATCAGAGGCCCGAGACTGTTCAACACGCTTCCACTACACATAAGGGACATAACTGGCCGACCCCTCACAGTGTTCAAGAGAGAACTATCAACATCAGAGGCCCGAGACTGTTCAACACGCTTCCACTACACATAAGGGCATAACTGGCCGACCCCTCACAGTGTTCAAGAGAGAACTATCAACATCAGAGGCCCGAGACTGTTCAACACGCTTCCACTACACATAAGGGACATAACTGGCCGACCCCTCACAGTGTTCAAGAGAGAACTATCAACATCAGAGGCCCGAGACTGTTCAACACGCTTCCACTACACATAAGGGACATAACTGGCCGACCCCTCACAGTGTTCAAGAGAGAACTATCAACATCAGAGGCCCGAGACTGTTCAACACGCTTCCACTACACATAAGGGACATAACTGGCCGACCCCTCACAGTGTTCAAGAGAGAACTATCAACATCAGAGGCCCGAGACTGTTCAACACGCTTCCACTACACATAAGGGACATAACTGGCCGACCCCTCACAGTGTTCAAGAGAGAACTATCAACATCAGAGGCCCGAGACTGTTCAACACGCTTCCACTACACATAAGGGACATAACTGGCCGACCCCTCACAGTGTTCAAGAGAGAACTATCAACATCAGAGGCCCGAGACTGTTCAACACGCTTCCACTACACATAAGGGACATAACTGGCCGACCCCTCACAGTGTTCAAGAGAGAACTATCAACATCAGAGGCCCGAGACTGTTCAACACGCTTCCACTACACATAAGGGACATAACTGGCCGACCCCTCACAGTGTTCAAGAGAGAACTGGATAAACACCTCCAAAGGATACCTGATCAACCAGGCTGTGACTCATACGTCAGGCTGCTCGCAGCCGCGTCCAACAGCCTGGTTGACCAGTCTAGCAACCAGGAGGCCTGGTCGACAACCAGGCTGCGGGGGTCGCTAAGCCCCGAAACCATCTCAAGGTAACCGGAGGAGGAGAAGAGAAGAAGAGGAGGAGGAGGAGGAGAAGAAGGAGAAGGAGGAGGAGGAAGGAGGGGGGAAGAGGAATGCAAAGGAGAAACAGGAATAGGGGGAAAGAACCAAGAGATATCAACAGAAAAGACCTCTTCGTTCAACATCACTTCAAAATACACCTCACACTTAACAAACCCGAACGCTAAGACTCCTCAGATCATTACCATGATCGAGCAGGTTGTTGCGGAGGTCGATATGTCCCAAAAGGAAGCCTTTGGATCACCCCCCAAAGAGTCGAATATTTTAATAAACTGCCAAATGTGTTTGATGTCAACAGGGAGATGGCAGGCCAGGAGACGCTGTCTCCTCGCTCCACCTCCACGCACGCAAACACAAGATCACCTGGACACACGCGCGTGTGTGTGTGTGTGTGTGTGTGTCATGCTGCTATCTTCTCTCATGGGTCTCTTGTGTTATCTGGTCTCGTTGATCTGTGTGTTATCTTGTCTCATAGGTCTCTGGGTTATCTTTTCTCATGGGTCTCTGTGTTATCTTCTCTCAAGGGTCTCTTGTGTTATCTTCTCTCATGGGTGTCTTGTGTTATCTGGTCTCATGGGTCTGTGATATCTTCTCTCATGGGGAGCCGGTCGGCCGAGCGGACAGCACACTGGACTTGTGATCCTGTGGTCCCGGGTTCGATCTCGGGCGCCGGAGAGAAACAATAGGCAGAGTTTCTTTCACCCTATGCCCCTGTTACCTAGCAGTAAAATAGGTACCTGGGTGTTAGTCAGCTGTCACAGGCTGCTTCCTAGGGGTGGAGGCCTGGTCGAGGACCGGGCCGCGGGGACACTAAAGCCCCGAAATCATCTCAAGATAACCTCAAGATATGCGTCTCTGTGATATCTTTTCTTAATGATCTGTGTGTTATCTCCTGTTATATATCTATGTTTAATAACACATATATTAATCTGGTGGGGGTTAGGACAGAATGATAGCAAGAGTTCCCTAAGATTAGAGGTTAGATATCACCTTCACTCTGGCGCGCTCTGAGGATATCTTCAAGAACTCGAGAGTGAATATAGCAACCGGACTGTCCTTGGTCTGAAGCCAGTGTCGAGTGAACTAAGCTCGCTGAGGGTATATCAGGGGTATACCCCAGCATACATAGGGAGATTTAGGGAGGAAATATGTTATACTGTGCTTCATACAAGTGTATAACCGAACATTCAGAAATATATCACCAGATAATATATTTTGTTTACACAGAAATGTGTTCCATAATTATATATGAATTTCATTATGTAGTCAGATAATACTCAGAATTTTCAAAGTTAATACTTAGAACTTTACAAGTTATTACTTAGAACTTTACAAGTTATTACTTAGAACTTTACAAGTTATTACTTAGAACTTTACAAGTTATTACTTAGAACTTTACAAGTTATTACTTAGAACTTTACAAGTTATTACTTAGAACTTTACAAGTTATTACTTAGAACTTTACAAGTTATTACTTAGAACTTTACAAGTTATTAGAAGTTTTCCAAGTATTACTGAGAGTTTTCGCAGGAATTACCAGAACTTGACTCAAGTATTAATCTCAAGTTTTAGTGTGGTTCTGGAATAATTCCTAAGGAACTAGTCTTGAAGACACGCTCGACCGAGCTCGGCCGTCAGGACACGCTCGTCCGAGCTCGGTCGAACCCAAAGTCACATTCGTCAATGACAATGTTCCATGTATTCAAAATCTGAGTATTACCATGTGTAAATTTGTATTAATATATATTAGAATACGGTTAGGCTTAAATTAAATTAGGTTGAGGGTTCAGGTTCTGTTGTTGATAATTTGTGTTTACAACCCGTCCTCGGAGCAAGTCCATTCCATCCAGCGGTCGACCCCACAGATGCATTCATCAATTTTAATAACATGCTGTTCATTCCAAATGGAAATTTTCTCAAATATTAATTAATATTGTTATATATTAGCATATTGTGCATATAAAGGCATAGGTTAGGTTAGGTGTTTAGGTTCTGTTGGCGATTATTTGTATTTGTAGTACGTGGGTGAAGCATTTACAGCGTTGTGGTTCGAACACCAGTCGTCAGTGAAGCACTTGTTCCGGAAGTGTTCGGATGTCATCAGTTGTGAGTCGTATGTAAACCGTTTTTATTCATAAACAGTGGGTTTGGCGGGTGGATGGAATCACTTTTGGATCTTTGTTTGGAGGACGGGCTGGAGGACGGGCTGCCTTGTTAACGAGGCCTCTAAACATGGCAAATGAACGAAGCGTTGTTCGAGAAACGTCCGAACGTATTCATTTGCGAGTCGTGTGTAAAGGGTTTTTCATGAACAAACAACGATGATGTCTGCCGAATTAACAAGCTTCAGAACAACGTTTGGGTAACTGAGCTCACAAGAGCACTACAACCTTACCCTGATACTCAAAATCAACCCAGAGCTTTAATGTGAATGTTGACCAGACCACACACTAGAAGGTGAAGGGACGACGACGACGTTTCGGTCCGTCCTGGACCATTCTCAAGTCGATTGTGAGAATGGTCCAGGACGGACCGAAACGTCGTCGTCCCTTCACCTTCTAGTGTGTGGTCCGGTTAACTAGGAGATAATTCTTTCATCATCTAGATCTATTATTAGATCTATTATCTATATCTATTATCTCTAGCTCAAGATCTATTATTATCAAGGGCTGTTTTACTCAAATTAGTTAAAAAAAATTGTGATTTTAAAAGTTTCTTTATAGTTTATACATTAGGAATTTCAGTAGATATTTACGTGTCTGAAGACTTATAATGCATCTTACCTGGATATTACATCTTATGCATCTTACCTATGGCGGTGTGTCCACTCACAGGATGAGTGACGCTGCCCAATACTGTCACTATGGCGGTGTGTCCACTCACAGGATGAGTGACGCTGCCCAATACTGTCACTATGGCGGTGTGTCCACTCACAGGATGAGTGACGCTGCCCAATACTGTCACTATGGCGGTGTGTCCACTCACAGGATGAGTGACGCTGCCCAATACTGTCACTATGGCGGTGTGTCCACTCACAGGATGAGTGACGCTGCCCAATACTGTCACTATGGCGGTGTGTCCACTCACAGGATGAGTGTCGCTGCCCAATACTGTCACTATGGCGGTGTGTCCACTCACAGGATGAGTGGCGCTGCCCAATACTGTCACTATGGCGGTGTGTCCACTCACAGGATGAGTGACGCTGCCCAATACTGTCACTATGGCGGTGTGTCCACTCACAGGATGAGTGTCGCTGCCCAATACTGTCACTATGGCGGTGTGTCCACTCACAGGATGAGTGGCGCTGCCCAATACTGTCACTATGGCGGCGTGTCCACTCACAGGATGAGTGGCGCTGCCCAATACTGTCACTATGGCGGCGTGTCCACTCACAGGATGACTGGAGCTGCCCAATACTGTCACTATGGCGGTGTGTCCACTCACAGGATGAGTGACGCTGCCCAATACTGTCACTATGGCGGTGTGTCCACTCACAGGATGAGTGGCGCTGCCCAATACTGTCACTATGGCGGTGTGTCCACTCATAGGATGAGTGACGCTGCCCAATACTGTCACTATGGCGGTGTGTCCACTCACAGGATGAGTGACGCTGCCCAATACTGTCACTATGGCGGTGTGTCCACTCACAGGATGAGTGGCGCTGCCCAATACTGTCACTATGGCGGTGTGTCCACTCACAGGATGAGTGGCGCTGCCCAATACTGTCACTATGGCGGTGTGTCCACTCACAGGATGAGTGACGCTGCCCAATACTGTCACTATGGCGGTGTGTCCACTCACAGGATGAGTGACGCTGCCCAATACTGTCACTATGGCGGAGTGTCCACTCACAGGATGAGTGGCGCTGCCCAATACTGTCACTATGGCGGTGTGTCCACTCACAGGATGAGTGGCGCTGCCCAATACTGTCACTATGGCGGTGTGTCCACTCACAGGATGAGTGGCGCTGCCCAATACTGTCACTATGGCGGTGTGTCCACTCACAGGATGAGTGGCGCTGCCCAATACTGTCACTATGGCGGCGTGTCCACTCACAGGATGAGTGGCGCTGCCCAATACTGTCACTATGGCGGCGTGTCCACTCACAGGATGAGTGGCGCTGCCCAATACTGTCACTATGGCGGCGTGTCCACTCACAGGATGAGTGGCGCTGCCCAATACTGTCACTATGGCGGTGTGTCCACTCACAGGATGAGTGGCGCTGCCCAATACTGTCACTATGGCAGTGTGTCCACTCACAAGATGAGTGGCGCTGCCCAATACTGTCACTATGGCGGTGTGTCCACTCACAGGATGAGTGACGCTGCCCAATAAACTCGCCCCTCGAGGCAAAATTTAACATTTTAATGCCTATGTTACATGTCGAATGCAAAAAATAAATGATTGTAATGATGTTTCTTGGTGTGGACAGGTTCCCAGAGAGCAGACTGGCCCGGCTCTTCAACGGCTCCATCCCCATCGTCCTGGACTCCCTCAAGCAGCACTACTTCATAGACAGGGATGGCAAGATGTTCCGTCATATCCTCAACTACATGCGACACGGCCGGATGCTCCTCCCAGACGACTTCACTGACCACGACCTCCTCCTTGAAGAGGCCAGATACTTCGAGATTGACGGTAGGTCTCTGGGGGTTGTGGGGGGGGGGGTTGTGATTTCGGGGCTTTAGTGTCCCCGCGGCCCGGTCCTCGACCAGGCCTCCACCCCCCAGGAAGCAGCCCGTGACAGCTGACTAACACCCAGGTACCTATTTTACTGCTAGGTAACAGGGGGGCATAGGGTGAAAGAAACTCTGCCCAATGTTTCTCGCCGGCGCCTGGGATCGAACTCGGAACCACAGGATCACAAGTCCAGTGTGCTGTCCGCTCGGCCGACCGGCTCCCCTTTCTAGCCTAGCTCTAATATTAATACAACAGCCAATAATCACTTACTAATATACACTACAATTTGTATTATACAACTATGATATATATGCAATTATGCGAAGAAATTATATTCAGTAAGATTCACTAATGATAAATTAATGATAACTAAGTTAGTAATTGTTAACAATGAATAAGATCAATTATGTATACACATATATTCAAATTTATATGAAAGGATTCAATAATTGAGTAAATTCAAGCATGAATGTAAATATTCAAGTAAAAGATTCAGTTGCTGAAAGTTTAAATCCAAACTTACTGATATTTAGGGCGTTGTCCCACAGTATAACCACAAACAGGTTTAATCAATTGTTGATGATCGACTTGAGAATGGTCCAGGACGGACCGAAACGTCGTCGTCCCTTCACCTTCTAGTGTGTGGTCTGGTCAACTTACTTTAGCCACGTTATTGTGACTCATCGCCTGCTTAATCAATTGGATAGATTAAGGTTATAACAGGAGGCAATTGGCCAATCAACACACTACGAATAATCGCTCATGTCATCGGACAAGTTGCAAGACTGTATAATCTCTCTTATTAGAGTTTAAGAGATGGGCACTTTATTTTTTATATCAGCTTTGCTGTTGAATATGTCCATTAATAGCTTTGATTTAGGATAAGATTAAGGGGCCAGATTCACGAAGCAGTTACGCAAGTACTTACGAACCTGTCCAACTTTTCTTAATCTTCGGCAGCTTTGTTTACAATTATTAAACAGTTAATGAGCTCGGAAGCACCAGGAGGCTGTTTATAACAATAACAACAGTTGATTGGCAAGTTTTCATGCTTGTAAACTGTTTAATAAATGTAACCAAAGCCGTCAAAGATTGAGGAAAGATGTGTACACGTTCGTAAGTACTTGCGTAACGTCTTCGTGAATCTGGCCGAAGATAATGTAGTGGTGGAGGCGGCATCACCTTGTGTGCTACTTTACACTTTTATTTAGATAAAAGTACCAGGAATATCCCAAATATATATAGTCCAGGAACTCCCTCACTATCTAGAAAGCCATGACTGGTGATATGTAGTAGTAGGCATCCTTCAGTCTCGGAAGACTATGGAGTTGCGCCCTGACAGGGCGCAAAGCCTGGGTAGGTAGATATGGAGGAGAAGCTGTTACCCATGCAGCAGGTCCCCCCTCTCCACGTTGCTGAAATTATCCAATAGAAAGGCAAATGCCAATACACATGGTTCCAGCAACGTCGCAGGAGCTGCCAGAACGAGGTCGACGTCAACAACGAACTGCCTTAGGGGCTCCAACTCCGGATTTTTCCTCGAGGTTGACTCCTGAAGCCTTTCCCAAAAAAGGGTATGGCCGCAAGGCAGCGGAGGTTTAAAATCAGGGTTTTCCTTCCCCTAGATGGGCTGCCTTCCCAGGCTATCGAGTCCCATCTACCCGGAGCAGCTGGTTTTAAGGCGCCAGAGGCACGCCCTCGCCCCTTCTCCTGTCGGTAAAAGCAGTTCCGCCGGACTTAAAGACTAAGCCACCCGTGCAGGCCAGGAGTTGGACTTGGTTGTCAGAGACTATTGGAGACGCATGCCGTATAGGAGCATTGTATAGGTCATGGGAGCTCGTCCCCCATTACCACCCCCTGGCTATGACAACCCCTTGGAACCAGGGGGTTGTCATTATATCCAACTAGTTGATGTAGGATATAATGAATCTGATATGATTCTGGTATAATACAGAAATAATACATTTCTTAGATAATAATATTGATACAGTGGGTAAAATTTCCCCGACCCCCCACCACACCACTAATGCCTCTCCCCCACCCCCCACCACACCACTAATGCCTCTCCACCACCCCCCACCACACCACTAATGCCTCTCCCCCACCCCCCACCACACCACTAATGCCACTCCCCCACCCCCCACCACACCACTAATGCCTCTCCACCACCCCCCACCACACCACTAATGCCTCTCCCCGACCCCCCACCACACCACTAATGCCTCTCCCCGACCCCCCACCACACCACTAATGCCTCTCCCCCACCCCCCACCACACCACTAATGCCTCTCCCCCACCCCCCACCACACCACTAATGCCTCTCCCCGACCCCCCACCACACCACTAATGCCTCTCCCCCACCCCCCACCACACCACTAATGCCTCTCCCCTACCCCCCACCACACCACTAATGCCTCTCCCCCACCCCCCACCACACCACTAATGCCTCTCCCCCACCCCCCACCACACCACTAATGCCTCTCCCCCACCCCCCACCACACCACTAATGCCTCTCCCCCACCTCCCACCACACCACTAATGCCTCTCCACCACCCCCCACCACACCACTAATGCCTCTCCCCCACCCCCCACCACACCACTAATGCCTCTCCCCCACCCCCCACCACACCACTAATGCCTCTCCCCCACCCCCCACCACACCACTAATGCCTCTCCCCCACCCCCCACCACACCACTAATGCCTCTCCCCCACCCCCCACCACACCACTAATGCCTCTCCACCACCCCCCACCACACCACTAATGCCTCTCCACCACCCCCCACCACACCACTAATGCCTCTCCCCCACCCCCCACCACACCACTAATGCCTCTCCACCACCCCCCCACCACACCACTAATGCCTCTCCACCACCCCCCACCACACCACTAATGCCTCTCCCCCACCCCCCACCACACCACTAATGCCTCTCCCCCACCCCCCACCACACCACTAATGCCTCTCCACCACCCCCCACCACACCACTAATGCCTCTCCCCCACCCCCCACCACACCACTAATGCCTCTCCCCCACCCCCCACCACACCACTAATGCCTCTCCCCCACCCCCCACCACACCACTAATGCCTCTCCCCCACCCCCCACCACACCACTAATGCCTCTCCCCCACCCCCCACCACACCACTAATGCCTCTCCCCCACCCCCCACCACACCACTAATGCCTCTCCCCCACCCCCCACCACACCACTAATGCCTCTCCACCACCCCCCACCACACCACTAATGCCTCTCCCCGACCCCCACCACACCACTAATGCCTCTCCCCCACCCCCCACCACACCACTAATGCCTCTCCCCCACCCCCCACCACACCACTAATGCCTCTCCACCACCCCCCCACCACACCACTAATGCCTCTCCCCGACCCCCACCACACCACTAATGCCTCTCCCCGACCCCCCACCACACCACTAATGCCTCTCCCCCACCGCAGGTTTGGTCAAGCAAGTAGAGGAGATGAAGAGAGTTCGTCAGGAGTCTCGCAGGTCGTTGCTCTCGTCGTCCTCGTCACAGTCGTCCTCACAGTCGTCGTCACAGTCATCGTCCATCAAACACAAGTCCCTTGTCAACGGTATCAAGAAGGAGGATGACAGTCATGGCTACGATGTGAGTATCCCCTTCAAAACCTGTTTTGATTGTCCCAGTTTTCTTGTAGCCCATAAGGAACATTTTTTTTGATGAATAGGGGGTGACTAGTGAATTTTTAACTAGTGAAGAATTTCACTAGTTAAATTATATATATAACTAGTGACAAAATGCCTAATATTCACATACATATATGTGTATATATATGACATGTTGTCATGGGCCATTTCAACTAGTTCTCAAGGCTTTTTCTCTTTAGTTTTCCCCAATAATCCATTGACTGCGGAAATGTTCGGAAGACATTTTCTATGAACACTCTAAAATAAAGGTTAATTGAACTTTATATATCTTTCATGGCAAATTCGTTATAAATATAGATTTTGTTTATATATTTAAAAAAGAATCATGCGCAATAATTTAATTCTAATATCGATCTTAAGAAAATGAAATCTAATTACCAGTTATCTATTCAATTCTATTTTAATAAAAAAGTTATATAAATAGGCTTAACTAAAGAAAATATGAATAAATGGTTCGAAACAACACTATATCATTTTCTAGTCTCGTTAACTATGATGTTTCAGAACAAAAACTTCTCCAATTAATTAATTTTTATGTATAATGGCAACATTTATCTTCCTTTTAGTAAGTAGTACCCAGAGATTTGTCAGTTCTTTCAGATATTAGGGATTTATGTGCGTTTCTCTTGATATATTATTCTTCTAAACGTTATTTGCTGTTAGTCACAGTGTTTTCTGGGGTCAAACGTCAGTTGACGTTCTCAGCAGCCTAAGGGTTAAGGAACAGGGTGCCAGTTTTACACGTACCTAACCTGTCCTACATGTACCTAACCTGTCCTACACGTGCCTAACCTGTCCTACACGTGCCTAACCTGTCCTTCACGTACCTAACGTTCTACACGTACCTAACCTGTCCTACACGTGCCTAACCTGTCCAACACGTGCCTAACCTGTCCTTCACGTGCCTAACCTGTCCTTCACGTGCCTAACCTGTCCTACACGTACCTAACCTGTCCTTCACGTACCTAACCTGTCCTACACGTACCTAACCTGTCCTACACGTACCTAACCTGTCCTTCACGTACCTAACCTGTCCTACACGTACCTAACCTGTCCTACACGTACCTAACCTGTCCTACACGTACCTAACCTGTCCAACACGTGCCTAACCTGTCCTACACGTGCCTAACCTGTCCAACACGTGCCTAACCTGTCCTTCACGTGCCTAACCTGTCCTTCACGTGCCTAACCTGTCCTACACGTACCTAACCTGTCCTTCACGTACCTAACCTGTCCTACACGTACCTAACCTGTCCTACACGTACCTAACCTGTCCTTCACGTGCCTAACCTGTCCTACACGTACCTAACCTGTCCTTCACGTACCTAACCTGTCCTACACGTGCCTAACCTGTCCTACACGTACCTAACCTGTACTACACGTACCTAACCTGTCCTACACGTACCTAATCTGTCCTACACGTGCCTAACCTGGCCTACACGTACCTAACCTGGCCTACACGTACCTAACCTGTCCTACACGTGCCTAACCTGGCCTACACGTACCTAACCTGTCCTTCATCCAACTTTAAATAGATTTAAAATGTATAGAAATATTAATTTGCATTTATGTAAAAAAATGGTTTTGATTAGTTATTGATCTCTGTTTATGACTGAGCTGTTGGGGCGGTGAGAGCCTGTAGGAGCGGGCCTTAAGGCTGGACGGAAGGATCCCTGTGATTCAGGGATGTCCCTGATCCTTCAGGGACTGAAGGATCCCTGTAATTCACTCTCACTCTCTATTCACCCACGTGTCTGTCCGGCTCTCTCTCTCCCTCTCACTCCCTGACCAGGCCTCACTCGCCAGGACCAGGCCTCACTCGCCATAACCTAGCCAGGACCAGGCCTCACTCGCCATATCCTAGCCAGGATTAGGCCTCACTCGCCATAACCTAGCCAGGACCAGGCCTCACTCGCCATATCCTAGCCAGGACCAGGCCTCACTCGCCATATCCTAGCCAGGACCAGGCCTCACTCGCCATATCCTAGCCAGGACCAGGCCTCACTCGCCATAACCTAGCCAGGACCAGGCCTCACTCGCCATATCCTAGCCAGGACCAGGCCTCACTCGCCATAACCTAGCCAGGACCAGGCCTCACTCGCCATAACCTAGCCAGGACCAGGCCTCACTCGCCATATCCTAGCCAGGACCAGGCCTCACTCGCCATATCCTAGCCAGGACCAGGCCTCACTCGCCATAACCTAGCCAGGACCAGGCGTCTAACCTCCCTGTCCCTCCCTCCCGCCTCTACAGGTGATCGCCCTCAACATCTGTCCAGACCTGGGAGAGAGAGTCATGCTCTCTGGAGAGCGTTGTGTCATCGAGGAACTGTTTCCAGAGGTGGCCCAGGCCATGATGGACGCTCGCTCCTCGCTCGCCTGGAATCACGACCATCGCTTCATCATCAGGTACTGATGCTGCTGCTGACAGCAACAGCAGCAGCAGCAGTCTCGTGTCCTGCTGCTGCTGCTGCTGCTGCTGCTAAGCTTTTGTCGCTGTTGTCAATTGTGTGGCTGGGTGTGATGAGTCAAGGGGTCAGCATTTGCTGATGCTTTACTGACTCCTTCCTTGGGAGGAGCGTCTTCGAGGTGTGCCTGGAGAACACGGGCAGGAGGGTACTCGCTGTGTACTGACTGGTAGATCATATATTAAGTGATAGAGCATATATTGAGCGGGATGGCTCGCTATTAGTTGTTGCTCATATACTGGGCACTAAGTCAGTACACACACACACACACACACACACATACACACACAATATAAGAACGGCCTTTAGAAACTTGTATCAGGAATCTTTCAGAACTTTGTATACCACATATGTCAGACCAATCCTGGAGTATGCAGCTGCAGCATGGAGGTCATATCTAGTCAAGCACAAGACTAAATTGGAGAAAGCTCAGAGGTATGCCACCAGACTAGTACCCGAGCTGAGGGGTATGAGCTACCAGGAGAGACTACGGGAACTGAACTTCACGCCGCTGGGAAACAGAAGAGTTAGTGGGGGCATGATCACCACATACAAAATTCTCAGAGGAATTGGTAGGGTAGATAAAGACAGTATATTTAGCACCAGGGGAACTACTCTATCCCTTTGAGATGTATTTTTTTCTTGTCTCAATAAACATACTTGAACTTGAACTTGGGGCACACGCACAAGGGGGACATAGGTGGAAACTGAGTACATAAATGAGCCACAGAGACATTAGCAATAACTCTTTTAATACCAAAGTAGTTAACAAACAATTGGAATGCATTAGGCAGTAATGTGGTGGAGGCTGACTCCATACACAGTTTCAAGTGTAGATATAGAGTCCAATAGGCTCAGGAACCTGTACACCTGTTGATTGACAGTTGAGAGGCGGGACCAAAGAGCCAGAGCTCAACCCCCCTTGAGCTCCACTGAGCTGCACCATAAAGGTCCAGATAAGGAAACAAAGGTGTCCTTCTCACCTTTGGTCCATGTTTAGAGACCGAAGACCAGACCACTGCCATCAGGTCTCCTGCTGGGCCTAACCCACCTCTGATGACGCCAATTTTTGAGTTTAGATGAAAAGTTATAACAATTTTCAGTTCCTAATATAATGCATAATGTTTACTTCAAAATTCACTGATTCTAATGATTCACAAATGCATCATATGTTCAAACTGTCAACCTCTCCAAGTAACACAAGAAAGCAGCCGGGTGGAAACAGTACACAGCTTCAGTGCTTCAGATTCCGCTGAGGCTTCCCTGTCCACCCAGGTGACGGTGCTTCATGGTGGACGGGAGAGGTGTGTAGCAGGACGGGGCCCTCCGTCACCACCCAGCTGGGATCACCCGTCGTCTGTTCAAAGTTGTTGTCTCTTGGGAACCTTCTTTCAGGCAGAGACCAATGTAGAGTCTGGCCATCAAGGGATGTGCTGATGTTGAAGCCAATAATTGTTTACATTATTCTCTTCAGAAGAATTTGATTACTCTCCTCTCGTGTGGTAAATAAATGAATAATCCTTTTTATCCTGCAGGTTTTCAGAGGGATTACATGCAACTTTTAGTTAAGATAGTTATAGAGAGAGACAGAGAGAGAGATACATGTACAGCAATAGAGCTATAAGAGCCACACACCAGGGGCCAGATTCCCAAAAGCCTTTACGCAAGCACTTGCGAACGTGTACATCTTTCCTCAATCTTTAACGGCTTTGGTTACATTTATTAAACAGTTTACAAGCATGAAAACTTGCCAATCAACTGTTGTTATTGTTATAAACAGCCTCCTGGTGCTTCCGAGCTCATTAACTGTTTAATAATTGTAAACAAAGCCGCGAAAGATTAAGAAAAGATGTACAGGTTCGTAAGTGCTTTCGTGAATCTGGCCCCAGAGTTGTCAACATGAGCATTATTGACCACAAGAGCCTCACCTGTGCCTCCTTTCTCACCTGCACAGGTTCCCTCTGAACGGGTACTGCAAGTTGACCTCCATGCAGGCCATCCAGCGCCTCCTCAACGCCTCCTTCAACCTGGTGACCAGTAACGGGGGCGGCGTGGAGGGCCAGCAGTTCTCAGAGTACCTCTTCTGCCGGAGAGCCCTGCCTCTGTGATCACTCACTCCCCATACAACGCCACGAAAATACGAAAGAAATAGAGATAATTGTTATAAATAGAAGAGTGAATAATACAAAGTGAGAGGAGAAGGAAGAGAGTAAACAGGGAATAATGAAGAATGCAAATGGCCAAGGATTTATAAATTATTTTAGGGGGGGGGATATAATTCCTCACTTTCCCATAAATGATAAATCACACTAATTTCTATAAAAAAAACAAAGTAATCCTGAAAAAATATTACTATGGTCCACTTTTCTAGCAAAAAAGAATATTAGTGAAATAATTACAAGCCAAACAAGATACACAAGTAAAAACAAAAAAAAGAGATAAAAAAATATATATATATTAAAAAAAATCCTTCTTGGCAAAGTTGATAAAAAAGAGAGAGAGTTGAGTATGAGGTTTTGTATAGTAGTTATGCTATAAAAAAAATTATATAAGATGTTTTATACGACAAGTTTAACTGATAGATAAGGTAGTTATTTGGACCTACTGGTGTTCAATATTCTGTTGAGGGTGAGAATGGTGATTATATAATGATGTTTATGAGAATCATGTTCCTGATACTGGGGTCATGTTCCTGGCCCCTGGGGTCATGTTCCTGGCTCCTGGGGTCATGTTCTGACCCCTGGGGTCATGTTCCTGGCCACTGGGGTTATGTTCCTGGCCCCTGGGGTCATGTTCACTGACCCTTGGGGTCATGTTCCTGGCCACTGGGGTTATGTTCTGGCCCCTGGGGTCATGTTCTGGCCCCTGGGGTCATGTTCTGGACACTGGGGTCATGTTCTGGCCACTGGGGTCATGTTCTGGCCCCTGGGGTCATGTTCCTGGCCACTGGGGTTATGTTCCTGGCTCCTGGGGTCATGTTCTGACCCCTGGGGTCATGTTCCTGGCCACTGGGGTTATGTTCCTGGCTCCTGGGGTCATGTTCACTGACCCTTGGGGTCATGTTCCTGGCCACTGGGGTCATGTTCTGGCCACTGGGGTCATGTTCTGGCCCCTGGGGTCATGTTCTGGCCACTGGGGTCATGTTCCTGGCCACTGGGGTCATGTTCCTGACCCCTGGGGTCATGTTCTGGCCACTGGGGTCATGTTCTGGCCACTGGGGTCATGTTCTGGCCACTGGGGTCATGTTCACTGACCCTTGGGGTCATGTTCACTGACCCTTGGGGTCATGTTCCTGGCCACTGGGGTCATGTTCACTGACCCTTGGGGTCATGTTCCTGGCCACTGGGGTCATGTTCTGGCCACTGGGGTCATGTTCTGGCCCCTGGGGTCATGTTCTGGCCACTGGGGTCATGTTCTGACCACTGGGGTCATGTTCTGGCCACTGGGGTCATGTTCCTGGCCACTGGGGTCATGTTCACTGACCCCTGGGGTCATGTTCCTGACCCCTGGGGTCTGTTCCTGGCCACTGGGGTCATGTTCACTGACCCCTGGGGTCATGTTCTGGCCACTGGGGTCATGTTCCTGGCCACTGGGGTCATGTTCTGGCCACTGGGGTCATGTTCTGGCCACTGGGGTCATGTTCCTGGCTACTGGGGTCATGTTCACTGACCCCTGGGGTCATGTTCTGGCCTCTGGGGTCATGTTCCTGGCCACTGGGGTCATGTTCTGGCCACTGGGGTCATGTTCCTGACCACTGGGGTCATGTTCCTGGCCACTGGGGTCATGTTCCTGACCCCTGGGGTCATGTTCTGGCCCCTGGGGTCATGTTCTGGCCACTGGGGTCATGTTCTGGCCACTGGGGTCATGTTCCAGACCCCTGGGGTCATGTTCTGGCCCCTGGGGTCATGTTCTGGCCACTGGGGTCATGTTCACTGACCCTTGGGGTCATGTTCCTGGCTACTGGGGTCATGTTCTGGCCACTGGGGTCATGTTCTGGCCACTGGGGTCATGTTCTGGCCACTGGGGTCATGTTCTGGCCACTGGGGTCATGTTCTGGCCACTGGGGTCATGTTCCTGGCCACTGGGGTCATGTTCTGGCCACTGGGGTCATGTTCCTGGCCACTGGGGTCATGTTCCTGGCCACTGGGGTCATGTTCCTGCCCACTGGGGTCATGTTCTGGCCACTGGGGTCATGTTCTGGCCACTGGGGTCATGTTTCTGACCACTGGGGTCATGTTCCTGGCCACTGGGGTCATGTTCTTGGCCACTGGGGTCATGTTCCTGGCCACTGGGGTCATGTTCTGGCCACTGGGGTCATGTTCTGGCCACTGGGGTCATGTTCTGGCCACTGGGGTCATGTTCCTGGCCACTGGGGTCATGTTCCTGGCCACTGGGGTCATGTTCTGGCCACTGGGGTCATGTTCTGGCCACTGGGGTCATGTTCCTGACCACTGGGGTCATGTTTCTGACCCCTGGGGTCATGTTCCTGACCCTTGGGGTCATGTTCTGGCCACTGGGGTCATGTTCTGGCCCCTGGGGTCATGTTTTGGCCACTGGGGTCATGTTCTGGCCACTGGGATCATGTTCTGGCCACTGGGATCATGTTCCTGACCCCTGGGGTCATGTTCTGGCCAATGAGGTCATGTTCCTGACCCTGGAGTCATGTTTCTGACCCCTGGGGTCATGTTTCTGACCCCTGGGGTCATGTTCTGACCACTGGGGTCATGTTCTGACCACTGGGGTCATGTTCTAGCCCCTGGGGTCATGTTCCTGACCCCTGGGGTCATGTTCCTGACCCCTGGGATCATGTTCCTGACCCCCGGGTTCAACGTGGATTCTTCTGTGCCATGCTTTGTACTTGCTGTCGGTGCCTGAGACTCTTCCTCCGCAGACCCACTCACTGCCAGCAGACACAGCCAGCAGACACAGCCAGCAGACACTGCCAGCAGACACTGCCAGCAGACACTGCCAGCAGACACAGCCAGCAGACACAGCCAGCAGACACTGCCAGCAGACACAGCCAGCAGACACTGCCAGCAGACACAGCCAGCAGACACTGCCAGCAGACACAGCCAGCAGACACTGCCAGCAGACACTGCCAGCAGACACAGCCAGCAGACACAGCCAGCAGACACAGCCAGCAGACACTACCAGCAGTCACAGCCAGCAGACACTGCCAGCAGACACAGCCAGCAGACACTGGCAGCAGACACAGCCAGCAGACACAGCCAGCAGACACTGCCAGCAGACACAGCCAGCATACACAGCCAGCAGACACTACCAGCAGTCACAGCCAGCAGACACAGCCAGCAGACACAGCCAGCAGACACTGCCAGCAGACACTGCCAGCAGACACAGCCAGCAGACACAGCCAGCAGACACTGCCAGCAGACACAGCCAGCAGACACTACCAGCAGTCACAGCCAGCAGACACTGCCAGCAGACACAGCCAGCAGACACTGGCAGCAGACACAGCCAGCAGACACAGCCAGCAGACACTGCCAGCAGACACAGCCAGCATACACAGCCAGCAGACACTACCAGCAGCCAGCAGACACAGCCAGCAGACACAGCCAGCAGACACTGCCAGCAGACACTGCCAGCAGACACAGCCAGCAGACACAGCCAGCAGACACTGCCAGCAGACACAGCCAGCAGACACAGCCAGCAGACACAGCCAGCAGACACTGCCAGCAGACACTGCCAGCAGACACAGCCAGCAGACACAGCCAGCAGACACAGCCAGCAGACACTGCCAGCAGACACAGCCAGCAGACACAGCCAGCAGACACAGCCAGCAGACACTACCAGCAGTCACAGCCAGCAGACACAGCCAGCAGACACAGCCAGCAGACACTGCCAGCAGACACTGCCAGCAGACACAGCCAGCAGACACTGCCAGCAGACACAGCCAGCAGACACAGCCAGCAGACACTGCCAGCAGACACAGCCAGCAGACACAGCCAGCAGACACAGCCAGCAGACACAGCCAGCAGACACTACCAGCAGTCACAGCCAGCAGACACTGCCAGCAGACACAGCCAGCAGACACTGGCAGCAGACACAGCCAGCAGACACAGCCAGCAGACACTGCCAGCAGACACAGCCAGCATACACAGCCAGCAGACACTGCCAGCAGACACAGTCAGCAGACACTGCCAGCATACACAGCCAGCAGACACTGCCAGCAGACACAGCCAGCAGACACTACCAGCAGTCACAGCCAGCAGACACTGCCAGCAGACACAGCCAGCAGACACAGCCAGCAGACACTGCCAGCAGACATAACCAGCTCATGTAGCACATGTTCTGGATACATTAGACATTATCCCACATCCCAGAAATTGTATAAAATTATCCAAAAAGGGGTCATCTCAACATTTAAATCATTGTCCCCAACTTCCTACAACACACACACACACACACACACACACACACACACACACACACACACACACACACACACACACACACACACACACACACACACACACACACACACACACACACACACAGTCTGCTAGAGCATGTCTGCTCACTACAAGATTTTGTCAGCACACTACAAGCAGACATCTTGATGTTGTTACAACTTTCGTGATAATTTCAGCGTAATTTCTGAAGACATTTTCCTTTCAAAGACCTTTAATCATAGCCAAGGAGCAGTAAGGTGCAAGTGAGTGTGTCTGCAGAGGTGTTGAAGTGTCGTCTGGCCCGGCAGTGGTTCTGCCAAGTGAATCAGGATAACAGCATAATTTTTAGGGAATATTTGTAAAGAAATGATTTTTTAGCTTAGAGTTTTGGGTGGGTGGAGGAGGAGTTGTGCTGGGCTGGAGAGAGAGAGGTGATCGTCGTAGGGCATTGCTTGCCTTGTCTACTGAGACAATACTTCAATGTTTTAAGAAACATTCGCCATGTAAGATGAAGGCGGCGCAGGGTTGCTAGCCGCTCGGTGCTTGCAAGATGTAAATAGTTACACTATTTTCTAGATTTTTTACTCAGAATTTTCTATTGTTGTCAGTTTAATTTTTTCAATGTGATGATAGTCGTGACTTCACATTTCTAACTTGCAAAATTTAAGATGTAATGTTTTTTAATGCCAGTGGCGAGGCTCTTTAAGGGGAAGAGCCGAGCGTCACCCATCCACTGGCTGTCCACACCTCAGCTTACTGTCTCCTACCACTCACCCTTCAGAGTTTTATTGTGCCATACTTAACAGGTGTGTGACCACTTGGGGGCGGGGTCAACCACCTTCCTAATCACCCTCGCGTCCAACGTCACCCACTTGTGTTCTACCGTTGAACTCTCGTGTGTCTTAAGATGCAGCATGAGGAGTAGTGTCCTCTGAGGTGTGTGTCACAGCACACTACTCCCACATGCACATCTTTACATCCCAATTGTCGCCAATTGCATAGTTTTATATAATTGTTTACTGTGTCATCCCTCCTACTGGCATGAC